TGAGGCGGCGGCGGCGGCGGCCCTGTCGAGCGCCCGGAGGTGGCGGCCGCGGCCCCATGGGCGGGTGTGTGGGCGCCCAGCACGACTCCTCGGGCAGCCTCAACGAGAACTCGGACGGCACCGGAGGTAGGTGAGCGCCAGGGGGCGGCCGCGGCCCCCCATTGTTCGCGGCGGCGGCCACCTGTCCCGACCCCGCCGGCCCGCGCCCCTTTGTCATCCTCCGCATCGTCCCCGCACCGCGCTCCCGGCCCCCCGCATGGGTCTCGCGTGCCTCACGGCGCGGGACAGCGTGGCCTCGGCGCGGGGCCGCGCGGCCTCGCCTGGCTGGGGAAAGTGGGACCCGGCCGCCCAGCGCCTCTCCTGCCCGCTGAATTATTCAGCAGCAGGATGGCGGCGCGGGGCTGCGGGGAGCGGAGGGATCGCTGGGCGGGCCGGGGGAGGGAGCCCTGAGCGTCCCCTCCGACGGGCCCTGGGCGGTTCAGCAGACTTGGCCCAGCTCAGCTTTCCCGAGTTTCAGATGACAGCTGCCCTGCTCGGTTCCAATTTGGCCATTGAAACCTGCAGTTTCTGGAGCTCGGCCGGGGGGGTCTCGAGTGGCCACGGGTGTTAGGAGGGGAGGGGTAAACGTAGTTCTCAGCTCCTGCCCAGGGGCGTTAGCGCACTAGCCAGATGCCGATGTGTCTTACGTAAAAGGAGAATTATGTAGGATGAAAGTACGTATGTGTAACAGTGACTTACCCCAGTATGAGGTTAGTACTTTGAATAAAAGTTTTCCAACACTTTTCCATTCTAACGCACGTCTCCATTACAGTAAGTAGCAGCGTGATTAGGTATCTTAACCCCATCATTAGTAGTTGGGAGAGTGATGGAACAGTAAAATGAGTTCTTCCTTTACTTAAATGACCTTAAAAGTGCCACGTCCATGTAGAGAATGTGTGGAAGTACGAATGTTTAAGAAAGAATGCCTAGAGAATTGCAGAGATAATTTGGTTTGATTCGTATGTTCGATGTCTCCAAGCATTTTGAAGTTACTGAGTTGCTCGGGACGGGTTACTTCTGAGAACTCCGAAAGAGGTTGGAAAAGTAGTCGGTGCAAATGCTGCCTTGTAGTGCATTTCGTATCACAGGGGAATTGCTTGCTGACATCCCCGAGTCTAAAAAGCTAGACAAAAAGGGTGTAATATAAACACATTGGGGGAAGGGCAGGTTAGTGGTCAGATGAGTCTTCGAGCCACTTAGGACCAATCAGGCATTATTAGTATGAGCTTTGAGAAGCATGAAGTCCTAGCTTTGGATAATTAATACCAGTGGCATCCAGTTAGGTAGCTGGAGTATCAGTTTCCTTGAGGGCTAAGTTTTGTAGACCATAAACTGCTAGGCTTTTCTAAGAAAAGTTTTTAAAAGGACATGAGATAACCCTGATGTAACTGATGAATAGTGGGTTGGGGTGTGTGTAAAAGAATATTTCTGGAATTTAACCATGGAAGCCTTTATTTTCTGCTATTGCCATGAAATGTGTGAATTTTGGAGTCAGGCATGGTTGAACATATCTGTGAGATCAAGGCTGACCTGGTCTGCATAGTTCCAGGCCAGCTGGGCTACAGGGAGACCCTGTCTCAGAAACAAACAAAACAACAAAAAGTTGTGTGTGTTTCAGTTTAAAAATGTTAGAGTTTTTTTTGTTTTTTTGTTTGTTTGTTTTTTAAAGATTTTTGTTGTTAGGAAGGGAACAGCTTTTTCCTAAGGGTGTTGGCAAAGATTCTTAGCTTTTCAAACATACAGTGGTGGTAAGGAGTTTTGATCTGGATATATTGGGTCATGGAAATTTTTATCAGCGTGGAGTATAAAGCAGCCTTAGGTATACTTCATGACGTTTCACAGTCACAGTGTTTGTGTATCACCTCTGTAGGAGGATTCCATCTTCCCGAATACCATGTGGTTCTTAATAAAAAAAATTTTAAATACCTTAAAAAAATTTTTGGGCATTTGAAGTACTGTTTCCTTATGGATCCAAAAACTTTTATTCAGAGTATTTATCCAAAAAAGCCTTGTTAGGTAGATTACTGTGCAGAATTCTTACATGGCATAGGGGAATGGCTTCATTCTCACCCTAGGGTTTGTTGTATTACTGTTTGTAATCAAGTGTATCATCTGTAATTCTTCTTCTGATACTTTTTGCCTAGAATTCAGATTTTGAGTTTTAAGCTACATAGACTTTTTTAAAAAAGTCAAATTGTAAACAAGACAGGTAGATTACAGAAGTGATGTAAGGTAACAGTATTCTCCAAATTTTCATACTCCTTGAATCTGCCTTTCTTAGGATATTTTTAGATGGCATTGTCTCGCTAGTTTATTTTGATAACATTGTCATGCTGGTATTTAGAACCTGTAGACAAGACTTTAGCGTGACATTTGCTAAGGACTAAATGTATAAATGTTATGCCTGCATGTTTGTAAGTGCATTCTTATGCAGTGCCCTCAGAGGGCAGAAGAGAGCATCAGATCCCCTGGAACTGGAGTTACAGACAGTTAGCCACCATGTGGGTGCTGGGATTTGAACCCCAGTCTTCTGCAAGAACAACAGGTGTTCTTAACTGCTGAGCCATCTCTCCAGTCCCTCAAGATTTTTTAAAACAAGAACTATTTATGGAGAAAGCCAATACAATTAATTTGAAGACAGCCAATGTGCTTTTCTAAAGTTCACTCTTTAGTCATAGTGACGTACAAAGTTGTCACTGCATGGATGACCATTTCTTTTCTACATTCAGTGATATCCTAAGAGAACTGGTTCTGGTGGTCTTAAGTTTCCAGGTTTATAGGCATACAGCCAAATGCTGGATGTGCATTGCTCTAATCTTTATTTCAGAATGTCTTGAACGTCACGGAATTCTTTTAGATAACCATTTATAGCAGCTTTATACCTACTCAATGAGTAACAATGATTTTTTAAAAATAATAAAATCTACCATTTATCTGGTATTTATTATGTAACAAGTCCTATACTAAGGGATTAATAAATTCGTTGAGTTCGCAACAATTCTTTGAGGGGGATATCAGCTCTGTATTATAGGAGAGGAAGCAATTGAAGCCCAGAGAAATTAAAGAATTTCATCACCACATAGTTTAACATGATAATGAGAACTTTTAACCCAGGGTTGTAGGACAAATGGTCTGCCCTCCCTCCTTCTTTCCTTCTTTGCTTGTTTATGTTAAAAATTAATGATAAATGTACCATGTAAAAAAGTGTGTCATTTTAAGTGTAATTCATAATGTGATATAAGCTTTTCTTGAAATAGGAACTGCAGATCCATTAATTAGTATGTCTTTGTTCCCCCTTCTTTCCCCCTCTAATGACCACTAATCATTTTTTGGGGGGGGGGGCTCTATTTTGAGACAGGGTCTCCCTGTAGCCCCAGCTGTCCTGGAACTCACTAGGTAGAACAGGCTGGCCTTGAATTCACATAGATCTGCCTGCCTCTGCCTCCCAAGTGCTGGGATTAAAGGCATGCACCACCATGCCTGGCACACTAATCAGTTTTTTTGATCCTATGTATTTATTAGCTCAGGATGTTTCATGTAAATGGAATCTTATTCTTTCATTTGAGGTTTATTTCACTTAGTATAATCTCTCCTAGGTTCATCCTGTTGTTTGTAATGCGTATCAGTATTTACTATCTTTTATGATTGAATAATATTCCATTGTATTTATACATTTTGTTGACCTAGTCATCTGTTGGTATATATTTGTTTCTATGTTTTGTGCAAATATTGCAGCTGTGAACTGTGTCTATTTCCAGTTCTTTTTGTTGTATACCCAAAGGCTAGGATTGTTGGGGCATATGATGATTCTATTTATCTTTTTGAGGATCTGCCAAACTTTCATGGTGGCTGTACTGCTACACATTTCTGCCTATACTGTATAAGGGTTCCAGTTTCTCTATGTATTCACCAACACTTGTTCTTTTCCATTAAAAAAAAAACAAAACATAACTCTAGTGTTGTGAAATAATGAGTCATTGTGGTTTCAGTTTGTATTTCCCTAATGAGTTCTGGAATTTAGTACTTTTCATGTACTTGGTAACCATTTATATAGCTTTGGGAAACTGTTCAAGTCCTTTGCCTTTTGGGATGGTGGGATTTTGAGTTTTAGGAGTTCTTTATATCAGATAAGTATTTGCAAACATTTTTCCCATTCTGTGGATCGTCTTTTCATTCTTTAGTAGTGTCCTTTGTTATACAATGTCTATCATTTTAATAAAGTCCAGTTTATTTTCCTTTGTTGCCTATGCTTCTACTTGAGTCTTAAGTATATATTTATATGTCCACCCCTTCATGATGAATAAAATAATAGATCTGTAAGCAGAAGTTCACCCATCTAACAAGTAATATTTTCTTCCTCAGCTCAGGGGAAGGATTATTAGCAGTGCCACGTTTTTTTAAAGTGTTGACCAAGGAATCCATAAACTCACTTCAACTTTTTCTCAGTGCACACCCAGGGCTTTGGGCATACTGATCTCTACCACTGAGCTGCATCTCCAGCCCTTGCTGTTTTTGAGACAGAACCTCATTTTGAACTTCTCCTAGGTTCATAATGTGAATACTGTGGTGTAACTCAAATGCTGAGGGAATAAGAGGATAACAGCATGATCCCAGCAGCCTAGAGCTGGTTAGAGAAGCTGTGAGCAGAAAGGGGGTGTCATGGCACACACCTGTGGTCCTAGAACTTGGAAGGTAGAAGCAGGAGGATCAGGAGATCAAGTTTATTCTCAACTGTGTAACTAATTTGAGGCCAGCCTGGGCTACATGAGATCTTGTCTCAAACACAAAACGGCTGGGTGTGGTGGTACATGCCTTTAATTCCAGCACCTGGGAGGCAGAGGCCAGCATATCTCTGTGAGATCGATGCCAGCGTGGTCTAGATAGTGAATTACAGGACAGCCAAGGCTACATAGTGAAACTTTATCTTTAAAAAAAATGGTGGGGTTGGAGAGATGGGTCAGTGATTAAGAATACTGGCTGTTCTTGCAGAAGACCCGGGTTCGAACCCCAGCACTCACATGGCAGCTAACAACTGTCAATAACTCCAGTTCCAGGAGGACAGCCTCTCTGTCCTCCAAGGGCCTTGCATGA